GGAGTCTGCTTCTCCCTCTGACCCTCCCCCCTCTCATGTGCTCTCTCTCATTCTCTCTCAAATAAATAAATAAAATCTTTAAAAAAAAAAAAAAATTTAGTCCTGCCCTGTAGAATTTCTTCAGTAGTTTGTCATGTGCCTCCCCAAAGTTCATGAAGAAGGGGAGATGTTCACATTTAGGACTCCAAATGTCTTTTCCTGTGGTGGTCAATAAGTATTTCTTGAAGGACCAGTGTTACTGATGATACCATGTGAAACAATGAGTAATATAGTATAATGGAGTCACTACTTGCTAGCTCTATGCCTAGGTTCACTTCTTTAGTTTCTCTTTGCTTCCTTTCTCTTCTTATAGAGCTATTATGATAATTAAATAGGATAATAATACATGTAAAAGTCTAAAAACAATTTCTTGCACATACTAATGGCTCACTAAGTTAGCTATTATTACTAAGAGAACTAGAAGTAGTAAGAAGGAGTGTTACTACTGCTTTTATTTACTTTGGGTTCTTTATAAGTTAGGTTTTGTTTTGTTTTGTTTTGTTTTGTTTTGGTGTATGTGAACTGTCCTGGAAACTTAATTACTATGTTAATGACTTAACAACCAATTTAAAAATGATTGAAATACAGTTCATTACTTGATGACTTCTTGTCTAGTAAATGTAATGAAGCTTTATATGAGAAGTCTTGATAAATAATATATAGTCATGATAGTTTTTACTAATATTTACCTTTGGTCTTATTTTTATGATAAAGTCTTATAGAAAACTCTTAAAGCTTTTATATTAGTAGTACTATATTAGACAAGACGGTTTATAATTTCAGTTTATAATCTTAAGTTCCACACGAGAAATATTTACGCAGGTACTTTTTTTCTTGCATGTGATGTTTTTAGTGGTGTTATGCAAATTGTTTTATGGGAAGCACCAGTTGCCGTATAATTAAAAAGATATATTTGATTATCTTATGACATACTGTAAAAAAGCAACACTTTTTGTTTTAAGGAAATTAACAGTAGAGGAAAATTACCGATTAGAGAAAGAGGAGAAACTTTCCAAAGCAGATGAAAAGATCAGTCATGCAGCTGAAGAGCTGGAGACCTACAGGTACTGAACATATTTTACTCCTTTCTTTTTGAAGTGGGGAGGGTATCCAAAAACCTAATATCAGAAAAAATAATAAAGCAACCGAAAAAAATAAACCCAACATTTTTCTGATTATTTTTCATTTGGATATCTTGCTATTATGCAATTACACAGAAAATATAAGAAGGAAAAAATGTTTTCCTTTCAGTGTGTATGATTTTGAATCTCTCACATTAGTTGTATTTGAACATGGAAAATCCTATTTTATGTTAATGTGAAGAAATTTATGAATAGCTGTTAATTTCAAGGTCTTTCCTCTTTGGTTCAAATGGGGAAGAATGCATACAATATTAAGGAATTTGAGAAGTATGCCTCAAAAAGAGTGAGCCACAGCTAAAGGTCTGAAGAAGTGTTTATATGTCTAGTATTTTCCTTGGTTCACTTGTCATTAGTTCCATGGAAATAAAAGAAAACCTAGAGAAGATAAGGGGCAAGATTTAGCAGTGTCCCAAACAGTTCTGATATTTCATTTTGTATTAGGAAGAGTAAGCTTGGGTTTTGTCCAAAAGAAGAAATTATCTTACTAGTAGTGTAAAGGTAGTAAGTAACATTTTATTTCACACAGTTGGTTAATTTCCTAAGAATTCTGTTAGGATTACAGGCATCTGAATAAGCCATCCAAGTTCATGCTTCTTAAAAATAAAGACAAACCAATATACCATATAAATCCTTGCATGACCCTTGGTTTAGGTAAACCCAAGTAATAGTACTCTTAAAGCATAATTAATGTTAAAATTATATCAAGAAAAATACACTGCTTTAGAACCTCTAAAGCTGATTAATGTGTAGAGTTCTGGAGTTATTTTTTATATTAAACAAAGCACTCTAGGTGTTTTAATTGATATTTTCAGTAGATACAGTGTATTCTCTCATTTCTTAGTATATGTTAATAGTAGAATGATTGTTCCTTATAGAAAGCGAGCCAAAGATCTTGAAGAAGAATTGGAGAGAACCATTCATTCTTATCAAGGGCAGGTATGTGTGTGTGTGTGTGTGTGTGTGTGTATAAATTAAAACAATTATGATTTGTTTGAATTGTTTATCTCTATTTTGATATAGGAGTATAGTTACTTGATAGTTGTACACTTTTCTTGAAGCTTTGCACATGTCTGTGGGACATTTATAGGGAGCCAAAGTTCTGGAATAAGAGACCTTGTTTAAAATTGCCATGTCTCCTGCTTCTTTGGGAATGTGGATTGAATAAATAAATAAACATATGGGCATTGGGGGTCTCATATTCACTTGGGCTAATTATCTCTTAGTTGGTAACTCATTGTAGTTGATTATTGCATAAAACAGAAATTTACTAGACAAATTTCATTCAGTTTTTGTTTTAAGAATGTAATAAATCAGATGTTTATGAAAATTTGCTTTAAAAATGTACTTTTCAGAGATGCTTGAGTTATTTTTGAGTTTATGAGTTGTGTACTAAATCATAGTGGTAGATGTGAAAATTTTTACTTAAGAAAATCAGTAGTATTTTAATGAATTTCTTTTTCAGATTACTTCCCATGAGAAAAAAGCACATGATAATTGGGTGAGTTTTAAATTCTCTTTGTCACGTTGTTCTTTTTCCTAATTGAAATGAGCAGTTTAAAAGGTACACTTTCACACTGCAAATTAGGTTAGTATTAAATAAAATCAGTTTCTTTTCATTTTACTGGTAGAGAAATTAAGTTCTTTATGAACTAAATACTTTGTTATAACACAGTTATTCACAAAATCTAGTTTTTCCCTCTTTGTTTTTACTTTGCAAGGAGCTTATATTCTCTCTGGGGGAGGTGATGTAATGTTCGTGGATTAATTGTTTGAGGACCCTGGATTACCACTGATACTTGTGGACAAGTTACTTAAAATTACTGGGCCTGTTTACTCATCTGTAAAAACAACAGATTGAACTAAGTGATATTGAAAGCCTCTTCTAGTTGTAAAAGTTATACAGTTTTGGTATCTGATTCTCAGTGTTGAATTACTTGATACACATCAAGAAAAAGATCATAGTGAGAAATGGCATGTCAGTGCTCCAGAGGAGGACTGTGTAAGGAAATGATAAGGATATAGGTTTTACTAATTGTAGGAATGGTCTGTCTAATATGTAGAACTGTTGTAATAGCTGGTGTTTATAGGACTTGTCCCTAGGAGTCTTCAAGGGGAGACAGTTTGCCCAGTGGATGAACACATGGAGTCTGGAGTCAGCCTGTCATGGTTGGTATCCTGGTTCCATCACCTGTAACAACAACATCTGTTGTTTCCTTACCTGTAAGGAAAGATAGATAATATCAATAGTACCTATTTCATAGAGTTACTATGATGAGTAAGTAAGATAACTCACGTAAGGCTGTTAGCCAGGTGCCTGACACATACTAAGCACTCGGTACATGTTAACTATTACTATACTGTTGCACTGAAGCTTGGGAGATATTTCTTAGATGTGGATATTTCTGGGAGTGGAGATTCCAGCATAGGTTGAGAATTAGACATGTTGAATTTCAGGGCTCTTCCCATTTCTCAGATTTTGTGTTGAGGGCTCAAGTGAAGATTTGTTATTGAATTAAGCTGGGCTTGGAGATGAATTTAATCTTTTTCACCACTCCCCACTACTTTCTGAATACTAAGAACAGATTATTTGAAGAACTGATGTTTGTTAGTCTCTTGTATTCTAGACACTATACTTAAAGGCATTTTGCATATATAACTCATTCAATCCACATAATAACTATAGAATAGGTATTATAATTCAAATTTTACAGATGAGGAAACAGCCCAAGGTCACATGATCAAAGAGTGAAGAGTAGAGATTGAAATTCTGACCTTTTTGATTCCAAGTCTGAGCTTTTTCTGTTACTGTACATATTGCATTTCTTGTTTAGTAAATAATGACATTGACTTTATGTTAAAACATGCAAAAAGGGGGCACCTGGGTGGCTCAGTCAGTTAAGCGGCTGCCTTTGGCTCAGGTCATGATCCCAGGGTCCTGGAATTGAGCCCCACGTCAGGCTCTCTGCTCAGCAGGGAGTCTGCTCCCTCTCCCTCTGCCTGCCACTCCCTCTGCGGGGGAATGCGAAAATGCAAAAAATATCCTTTATGTCTCGGGCACCTGGGTGGCTCAGTCGGTTGGGCGACTGCCTTCGGCTCGGGTCATGATCCTGGAGTTCCGGGATCGAGTCCCGCATCGGGCTCCCTGCTCGGCAGGGAGTCTGCTTCTCCCTCTGACCCTCCCCCCTCTCATGTGCTCTCTCTCTCATTCTCTCTCAAATAAATAAATAAAATCTTTAAAAAAAAAAAATATCCTTTATGTCTCAAAATGAAGATTTTTAAAAAAATATTTATTTATTTGAGAGAGAGAGGAAGAGAGAGAGTGCACATATGAGCAAGGGGAGGGACAGAGGGAGAGGAGGAAGCAGACTCCCCACTGAGCAGGGAGCCAGATCTAGGGCTCCATCCCAGGACCCTGGGATCATGCCCTGAGCCAAAGGCAGATGTTTAACCAACGGAGCCACCCAGACACCCCTCAAAATGATTTTTTTTTTAGATTTTATAAAAATAATGTATACTTAGTGAATAAAAAGTTCAGACTATATAGAAAAGATGTACAAAGAAGTAATCAACAATATCACTTTCATTTATTCTATACCTAAAAAAATATATTTAGACATAAATCACATGTATGTTTTGAAAACTGAAAACATGCTATATATAACTGTTTTATATCCTGCTTTATTTAATATATTGTAGATCTTTTTCTATGAATATTTTATAACTTTTTTTTTAAGATTTTTATTTATTTGAGAGGGAGAGAGTGAGTGAGAGAGAGCACAAGCAGGGTAAAGGGCAGAGGGAGAAGCAGACTC